GAACATGTTTTTTTTTTCTTGTTTTGAGTACTTCATCCTAAGCATGACACCGTTGATAATCATCAATTTTATTACGTCTAATGACATATATCATATATTAAGCAAGATATTATTAAAGAAAAAAATAGTTCTTAAGAATTGTCGAACGAAGAAAGAAAAAAATATGCCCTCGTAACTAAAAATGATAAATACCTCGATGTGAACTTAAAAGAGTTCTTGTTGACTTCAGAGAATAAGTAGAAGTATTCATACTATCGATAATACTTATTTATTAAGAAAAGATAAGAGATATAGTAAAAGCAGTATACTTTCTTCGTTAGTTAGTTCTATATTCATAATGACATTGATAAAAAAATGTATGTCATAGAGACATGATAAACCATATGTTGTATTAATATATATATAGAGAAAGAGTTTTCCCGAGATTTATGAATTGATGTATAAAACATCTGAAAAAAATTAATAAGAGCTCTGATTAATAAAAATAGAACTCAAATACACAAATGGCAAAATAAATCAACATTATTATTTCATATATCTTTAGGACAATTTAACATGACGTTGTAAAAGTAGGACTGGTTTATATGTACTTTATTAAGAACTAATGATTTATATTCTAGAATAAGATACTATGACAACATGCCATGATGAATGCGACTATGACCTGAACATGTAAGACTTTTGATGGTATCATTTTTTCTTTTTGTATCTTAATAAATTGTAACACATCGTGTCATATATGATTAGTGTTTTCAAACAAAAAAAATATGTTATTACATATAGCAGCTTGATTTGATCCTTTTAAGTTTATTTGATTTAAGACTAAGTCGGATCTTTCATTTAGAAAAATTTCTTTCAATTTATCTTTTATTTCTTTAAATCTTATTCGTCTAAGAAGATTAATAGAAATAGCTAATCGATAATAAGTTATATGCATGATTTTTTTCTCAATGTTTTTTTTACCTCATTATTTATGAATTCTTGATTGTAATAAAAAAATCTTTTATGAAAGAGTAAAACAAAAAAAGACTAGATGATTGAATGAATCCTTATTACTATAAGAATGACTAAAGCCATACTTTCATTCATATTGAAAATACTAAAACAACATTTGAATTTCTGTTTGTCATTATGGCACTCGATGAATTCTTACATGATTATTATCAAATGAACAAATAGACGACGTAATTCAAGCTTTGTTATTTTCCCTTGCGAGCAAGCAATAATTACTTCCTTTGATTATTATTTAATGAGTAAGCCTTTCAGTCATTAGCATATATTTCACGAATACGGAAACCATGAAATTTTACTCGAGTCTCTTCGAACCAGTCTACCATTGACTGATGGAAAGGCTGGAAAAGAAAACTAAATGACCCATAAGAAAAAGAACATTTGTTGTTTATTTGACTGAGTTTCTTATATACAACTGCAGATTTGCAAAACAAAAAGCTAACCGAATGTGAAATAAATACTAAAACCAGTAAATTTTTAGACTTTCTCTCTCGAAAACAAAATCAAATGATATTTCTTCATTATTCTTTGTTTTTCATAGATTATTTATTACTATTCTATTCGATCATGATTTAGATAATATTGATTTTATGGTAGATATCGACAATCTAACTATGTTTCATTCAAGCATAAACAAGTTATTTCATTAATAGAATTTCTTTTCATTGGGGAAATAAAAAAAAACAAGACATTATTGAGTTAGATCAAGTAAACTTCCTTGTCTATAGAGGTACTTTCATATATATGAAATGTTCATGACTTGTGAAAAGAAATAAAAACAAAAAGCTTCTCTACTCAACTTAAATATTATGACAAGAGTATCACAATTAATGAAAATGAGAGAAACAAAAAAACAAAAATAAATAGTTCAATTATTATAAATGAAGAAAACTATCGTTTTCAAAAGTTTTCTTCAACATACATAAATTAGCTGTATTCCAAGCGGATAGTCTTACCGAATATTAACGTTTTTTAAATAAAAAAAGCTGAGAGTATGTACCCAAATTGTTCAAAAAAACGTAAGTATTCGATAAGTTTGTCTGGTTCGAACACGTCTATTACTTTTAATTATATTAACAAATTAAATCTATTGAATATTGATGACATTGTGACAGAACATTACTTTAAATAATGAGATCATAAGTGCTGATTGAACAATAGAAATGTATCAACAAGAAAAAAAAAATTATGGTAAATAGTATTCATAAATCACTCAATTTTTTTAACTAATATTCAAATATAATTGTATTTTTTTCTATTTATTTCAATAAAAAATTGTATATTGATTATTATTTCGATAAATTAAAATAAATTAAATTTTCATCTATTTTATTCAAATTCTAATACTACTAGCATACAAAAATAAGTGTTGCTAATCCATAAAAGATTACTTGCTCTTAGTTTCAAGATTCTTCATACGTATCTTATACATAGAAAGTTTCTAATTTCAATTGCTGAAAACAATTGATGACTTCTGTTCGTTTTAAGTATAATAAAACATGCTAATTGACAAATTTATAAATTGTTTGATAATATAGAATAGAATTGTCATTGGAATGATATGTACCCAAGGGAGACCTCATCGGTTCTAACAGTTTGTGTAATCAAAAGTTTTAGAATTCGGCGTACTTTTTTGATGAATGTTTTCTATCAAATTCTACATGATGTTGCTGTTCACTCTATACAAATAAGTAAGTTTTATTTAATTTTATGATATTTTCATATGTTAAAAAGTTATTTTCTAGATTATGTTGAACTTAGTTTGAATCATTTTTATTGACGATTCATGGTTGTTAACTCAACGATCAATATTGAATATTATTTTTCTTTGAATAAAATAAAAATAAATGAACATGTATTTAGTAATACTAAATTAATAATATATATATAATATGAAAATTTGTTTCTTTTTATGAATAAGAAAATGATTTAAAGTGTTTGTTTCATGGTCACTTTTTTTTTTTCAATTTTGTAATCTGAGAATAATATGTCCTTGTTCTCTCATTTTAATATCCATAATTCTTGATCAATCATAAATATTTAATATCAACATAAATGACAATGACAAAAAAAAAAGAAAAGAAACGAACTTCTGTCTTTTTTTTTTCTCTTAAATAACTGTCATCGTGTTCTGCTTAAAATTTTGATTACATCATATCATTATTGATTAATGTCCTTAGTAAAATGGTAAGCTAGTTCACATTTAGATTTAAAGTAAATATGCGAATGGGAACTAGTCATATGTGTTGGTCTTTTTCTTTTGATGATGATCGCTATACTATGTAAACGTACATAATGTATGCTCGATACACGTTTGACAGTCTTCTTTTGTTTCGATATTGTAAAAGAGAAAATGATTTAACTGTACTTTGCTTCGTTTTTTGTTGTAAGTATACATCTTATACGACGTACATACATATATAAATTTGAAGGTGAACATAAATATGTACAGATGATATTCAATTTTTTCTCTTATTTCAAAATAGACATTAAAAGTAATATGTTCAAATGAATATTTAATCGATTAAATGTTACTATTAGAATGAAATTCATTCTCTAAATTAGAAGCGATTAGTAACTTCTACATATATATTATTCAAAAGAGAAAACGGATGTAAAAACTATGAGACTGATGATTATGATTGTTATATAATACAATGCAATTAAATAGAGTACATTTAATTGTATATAAAGATTGATCAGAGCATTAGAAGAGAAGAACTTATTTGTATCTAGATATTCATTGCGTTTTTCTTTTCATATGTTCTGTTTTTAGGTTCTTTTTTTATTAATTATTGGTATTTCTTTATACAATAGTAAGAGTAAGTTTTCTCTTGACATGTTTCTTTTTTTTTTCTTCTTCTTCTGTATGTTATCTTTCTTTACTTTTCAAAGCCCATAGAGTACTATTGTGCATATTCTAATGAACTTATGATCTTTAGGATGACATAGACATATACGTAGAGCTGTGTTATTTCATTCGTCTAACCAGTTCTACTTGGTAACTATAATCCTCTTCATCACTTATTGGCGTGAAGTATCTTGGTCGATGAATTTTGTCTGAATGCATATGCATCTCTTCATACGATTTCATTTCTTAGAATCATACCTGTTCAATGATTACTCTTATGAATATACATATTACACAATTTTTTTGAATAGAAAGATTATTTCTTTGTGTACATTGAAAATTCATTGTGAACATTTTTTGTAAGTATGTTATCGCTTCTGGGCATTATTCTTACTATTGAACAATATACATATATATATGAGAGAGAAAGAGGGAAAGAACGAGACAATGTCTGACAAGTATATATGTATTAAAATCTGTTAGTCTTATAAGTACATTGGTATGAAAAATGGTGCATGTGTCATGTAATGTCCTCTTCACTTTATAATCAGCTATATTCGATGCTGTGAATGATTGCTTGTTTATCAACGATTGCCATTTGATAATTCAACTGTCTGTATGTAACACTTTCGATTAAAATGTTAGATTGAATAAGTGAAAAAAAAAGAAAATGATTAAACAGATGAGATTAGAAATAGAACAATGTCTTGCATATGTAAAGAAATGAGTTTTATTTCTATACATAACAAAAACATAAATAATCTTTGTTTTAGTAAAATTTCAAAGAATAATACTCGAACAAAAGTTGTTTGTTCTTGCTGTTATTCATTTATCTCTTCTTTATTTATTATCATATTTATTGCCTGGACGATTTTGATTTAGTGATATTGACTACTATGTTTAGTCTATTCATTTATCGATATATATTGCTCGTTGTTTTTTCTTTTTCTGTTAAACAATAAAATCTTTCTCTCTCTCTGTCTCCATTCTTTCGAAATACATATAAATACTCGATGAATCATCGATTTTTTTCATTTATTATCTATTCAAATCATACGACGAAATCGATTTAGTTTTTATTTCAGATTATACAACAAGATATTTTTTGTGTCGAGCAAGAGAGTGACGGCGATATCTAATGCTGACCACTCCGATGACGACGACTAAACAATACGGTATAGAAACCGATGATGTTTTCATACATGGTTAGTTTTAATATTATTATAAAAATCTAAAATGAATTTTTTTTAAAATTTTTATTAAGAAACATTTCAACAGTCGCCTTCTGATGGTTTCGTTGGATCACTGCCTCCTCCTCCTCCTCCTCCACCACCACCACCACCGCCACCAATACCATCTATATTTAATAATAACATGAATAATAATTGTAAAATATTACTTCCACATCAAGAAGTTAATCTTGTTGTTAATCATGCAAATATAACTGAAATTCAAGCACGTTCAATTCCATCAATGCTTATATCAAGTAATAATATATGGACACGATGTGTTTTACCAAATCTTCGTATAAAACAAAGTATATTCGATCAACATTTTGGTGATTCAAAATCTCTTATCATAGATCGTTATAGACGTTCAAGTTCATCAACAAGTTATATAGGAGGAGGAGGAGGAGGAATAAATCTTAATGATGATGGACCATTATCATTTGTTTTACTTGATACAACATCAAAAATGCTTTATGATGTACCAATGCGTCATTTACTTCAATTAGTTAAAAAAGATTATGATGATGATGCTAGTATTGATCATGTTATTCGAGCTATTGATGAAACACATATGAAATCAGAATGGTAAACAAAAAATTTTTTTCTATATATTTCACACTTATAATAAAGAATATTTGAATATAAATAGACAAAGACTTCGAAAGAAAATTGTAATAAAATTTATTTGACTATTTAGTTGATTATATTCATGAATATCAAAAATAATTTTACGACTGTTAATGAAACACAATCTAAAAGGAGTATCAGAGTCAAAATATTGACCTACCCACAGGCCATAAACTAATAACGTCTCATTCTAATATATGAACAACTTTCTTATTATATTTCTCGAAGATAAAAATGCTTCCAATATGTCCCAAAATAGAGCGATTATAACTTGAATAGATTTCAATCAAATAAACAGATTTAAACATTCTAATTTTTGTACAGAAAATAATTTGTTTTATATTTAGGCTTGATGCAGTAACAGCTTTAAATAAACAATTTGATAAACATCCAGAAGATAAAGCTCGAGTATTAGCACATAATGGTTCAACACATGGTCTTGTACTTATAGAACAATTTTTTGTTAAACTTGTTCGTGTACCAGCATATGAATTTAAATTAATTTATTTAAAATTTTGTGAAGAAGCACCAACACAACTTGAACGTATGAATAAACATATTAATGATCTACTTGAATCAATTGAAATAATATTAAATAATGAACAATTACCTGGTATACTTCATTTACTTTGTTTACTTTATAATAGTATAACAAATAAAAAAATTCCTGGTATTCATTTTGATTCTTTATTATCTGTATTATCAACACGTACATTAAAACAAAATACAACAATAGCACATTTATTATGTCATTTATTAGAAGAACAATATTCAACATTATTAAATATATTTAATAATTCAATATTATTAAAATTAAAAGATTTATCATTAATTAAATATATACCTATTTATATTGATATAAATTTATTATATAAACGTTATAAACAATTAAATATATCATTAAATAATTATGAACAAAAATTTATTTATTTACCTGAACATATTAAAATAACACTTAATAATTTAGAAATTTTATTTACAAAATTATTTAATTATGAAAATCAAATAAAACAAGGTGAAAAAAATTTATCAAATTATTTTTGTGTTTATGATTTATCACTTGAATTATGTTTAACTACACTTGGACAATTTATTGATAAACTTCATCTTGCTCATATACAAAATATTGAACAACATCGTCGTAATCAATTATTATTATTGAAACAACAACGTAATATTCAAACACCAATACGTTCATTACATAATACATTTAATTCATATTGTTCAGATACAAATATTTTTCGTGATCATTTAAATGTTCCATTAACAACACCTATAAATACACGTCAACGTTTGAAAATTAATCGAACATCACGTGATCGTTATTTATCTTCACGAGATATTTCTTATGATGAACAAATAATACAAAATTTATTACCAGATTCTATACCAAGAAAACGTGGTCATTCTCCAACAGCTAAAACTGTTCTTACTAAACGACCATTTAATGTTCTTGGATTATCTACAACAAATAAACAAAAAGAAGAAATAGTAAATTTTTTTTTTACTCTTTTCATTTCATAGAGGATAGATAATAAAACTTTATTTGAGAGTTGACTGCGTTAAATATTCACTATTCACAGATTAAACTTATTAGTCCAATGTGGGTAAAAATTTCAAATCGATCAGGTCGATTTCATCTTTGAAGGTCATAACAAATGTAATCATAAGTAGATAGAATAAAAGAATATTTTTATGATTAGCAACACAAGTTACTTTCATGTTTTACATTTGAGTCATACAGGAATTTTCGCTAACAACTTATTTTTTTTGAATGAATTATTTATTTTATTGAACCTAATCGATATAAATCCTTTCAAAGTATGTTGTGTTAGTTTCATTGACAATTTTTCTTGATCGAATAAAGAGAGTTATAACTAATTTAGAATCTAAAGTAAATACTTGACAAATGAACTAACATTAAATTAGCTTTACTAAGAAAATATTTTAAAGTAACCAATTGAAAATTGTATAGACTTTTCTATTTCTAGAGTTTTATTAATAATATATTAATATTTAGGACGAAGTTTTCATTTCATCAACATCAGATAATAAACATGAAGAAACAAATATGGATTGTTCAATAAATGAATCAGCTATTGTACCAACAACAAATATGATATCAATTGATGAAAATCAAATATCATCTAACTTAACAATATCAAATCGATCTTTAATTGATTCTACAAATGATCAATCAATACCAATAAATGATTCTATTCTATCAATTAAATATGAAAATGATGTACCAATGAAAATTCATCAATATGAACAACTCGAATATTTAAATAATATTGAAAATGATATTAATAAAGAAAATAATTTATTATTATCATCAACACAAAATTCAACAGAAGTAAGAAAAAGAAAATAAAAGCATTCTAGTTTACTAATATTTTAATGCATATATCTAACATCACATTTGCTTCTACTGCTTTTGTAGTTGTCACATTGGTATACGAATTTATTTCATCAACTATGGCGTTCATCATTAATGAATGTATCTTCAAAAAAATGACAATCGAATAAAATCATACTGATTAATCTTTGTTTATTTTTTTCTGTCGATATTGTTTTCAGTTTAAGAATATAACAATTTTTCATATTCTATAACTTTTAACACTACGATATTATACATGAGTTAAATAGATCTTCTTCGATAGAATAGTGATGTATGCCGTTAGTCAGTTTCTTTTTCAAAAAAAAAAAAATTCTTTTCGTTTTAGTTTCATTGGTTTTTCTTTTATGTTCGTTGATTTTTATATTTATTTCGGTTTTTGTTTATATAGTTGATAACATTGTGTTGTTTGTATCTATGATTGATATTCCGAAGAAAAAATAATACATAACGAAAAAAAAAACTATATCTGAGATTTTTAAAAAAATTTTAACAGTACTTTTTGATGCTTAGATCCAAAAGAAAACTCTTGAGTTCGAATTATTTTTAATTACTTTGGACAGAATTTTATCAGATAGTAGAACCTGTTTTTTTTGTAAGCCATCAACTAAGGTTTTCGTAATCAATGAAAACACTGGTGAACAGTTATGACCCTTTTACTTGTTTGTTTTTGTGTCAAAGTAAGGATTTCTCGATAATATGAAAATGAAGAAATTCATCCTAAAATGTTGCTTATAGAACTTTTCCATCGGAATAGCTCAAGAACAATATGCTTGTTCTCCTTGAAACTTTCAGAAGTTTTCAATGCGTGATAGCTGCATCGATAAGCAACATTCTTTACTGAGTACGAATTCTTTTAGATTGTACTTAATTTTGCAGAGGTCTATTCGTAGCTATAATGTTAGGTAGAACAGCGTCCAACTTTTGAGCTTATCTTTTGTAAATAGTATAACTAGAAAAAAATCTGTAGGAAGGATGCAGCCACCTGATCATGCCTGTAGAGTGAGACGGATACTCTGTGATAAATGATATTTGATGTAGTCAACTTTAAACAAAGCTGATCTATCTGAAAGTCGCACCGGCATTTGTTCTATCTCTGCCACTAGTTTAGTTCTTTGTAAAGTGTAATCAGAAGAAAAGTGAATTTTTCCTTATAAATCAACCTGCTATTGTTTTAATATTTTTTTTTTTAATGAAAAGTTTTAATTCATTGCAGTCATCTTCATTACCAAATATCATCGATGATACTAATCAACAATTATCGTCTATTAATAATTCTCACAGTGAAATTCATAATACATCTGCAATGCGAATTTTATCAACTCATTCGAAAAAACTCAATAAAAGTTCTAAAAGAACTTCAAATATTATCGAAATTGATGAATTAAATCAGCAAAATTGTCTAAAAGAACTAAATTGTGACAATATTATGTATAATAATAAACAAACATTTTCATCTAATGAACAAGTAACAAATCTAAACAAATCTACAAATAATTCAAGTGATCAACAGAAAACAAATAAATCAAGAAAATCTATATCATCTGTGGAAAATCAAGGATCGATATCGACAAATAATATTTTCAATCGAAATATTCAACGTTGTGCTGTATCTCGAAGAATTTCAAGTGAAAAAGATGCCGAAGAATCTAATACAATATCTTCAACATCAACAATACAATCACAAATGTCAATAACAAATCGTCGAATATCTTCTTTTAAAACAAAAACAACCAATCATAATGTTCATTCCGTAACAAATGTATCTTCTTTTGCTCGACCATTACGTGCATTTCATATGTCTTCTATAACTACTAATGGATCGTTTTCATCATCAAAAAATATTAAAAAATTATCTTCGACTTCACAACATCATCATTTAACAACAATGCAAAAAACATTTTCTAGTAGAACAATATTAGGTACTGTTCTACCATTATCTACTTTAGTTAAAACTCAAAAAAACAATTGAATAACATTAAACTCACGTATTTTTTGGTTTTTAATGAACTGTTTTAAGTTTGATTTTTCTTTATTTCATCTTGCTATAGATTTACAATGAATTACTAATATTACTTTTATTATGTATAGTTAAACTGTAATACAATTAAATAAAGAAATTATGTAAATGAATAATTACATGACGATCTATTGTTTGATGAAGAAACGAACTCAAAAAATGTTTTTTTTTTGAGTCTTTTGATAAAATCGTATGTTTCATCTAATGCTCATAGCATCAAAACTAGAGTGTGAGTGTAGGTATTGTTAACTCACCCACACTCAAAACTAATTCGTAGAAGGAATGAATAATTATTCTTCAATAATTTGAAAGCTTCTAGACTTTATATTCAAGAATTTTTTTCTCTTATTCCATGAACTATAAGAACTTCACTAAGTAATTTGAAAATGAGTGTTTATTCTGAATACATATATTTAATCTTAAGAACAATAGTTACAAATAAGCTATTATATAAAATTTTTATAGAAATTATGCTCAATATTTTTTCTAGAACTATATCTTTA